TGCCTAACATTCTAACCCACTATTAAGCATGCAGGTAGACGATGTGTCTATGTTCAGCAACTACTCAGAAGATGAATGGGTAGATAGAGGGATAATGGATGGATCCCATAACTAAAAGGTAAATCTAATCTCCCTAAATAGTAAGGACCAAGGTCCCAATTCACCTCAACACCCCATCCCAGGCCTAAACTCTGCCCTTCTTCAGATGCCAGCTTCATGGTATATGACTTTCCCCCAGGAATGAGCTTAGTAGTGAAACCATGGCAACCAGTCCACACAGGTCTCAGCCTCCCCATCCCAAGAACTCCACAGAGGGACAAGAAGATCAGAAATGACAAGTATGCTAATTAAATCTATTTCTCCAGCTACCTTCTCTGTCACCACCCGGGGATATCAGAATGAGGGTGCTGGAGAGTACCCCTGATCCTACAGAGCAATCAACAAACAGGAAGGAGAAGGGACTTGTTAAGGTCACTCAGCTTTGGGCTCTGGGGTTGAGCTTGCCCTGAGCGAGAAGGGCTGTGTGCTCTGTGTTGTGCCCAAGCAAGTTAGGCCTGCCAGCTACCCAGGGTCCTGGCCTTGAGGGCAATATTAGAGGTTGCTCTTTGCAGTTGGTGGTCTAACAGCACTCTTGCCCTTGGAGTACAAGTTAATTAGCCCTGACACACCCTCTGTCTTCATTGGCAACCCTGATAAGCTCACCAGATATAATTAAATACATCTGGAAGGGTTTTTGAGGCCAGGGAAGAGAGTGGAATATTCCTTTGGTAAGAAAATTATCTCCTCAGGTGCCCATCTCCTCCTCTTGGCATTCAGAGCACCAGTGCCTGGGCTAAGGCCCATCTCATAGTCGCATAAACCTGTGGGCACCCCAACAGTGCCAGAGCACACTGTAAGATCTCTGCAAATGTTCTCTGTCCCTTCTGCCCAGAAGGTGCTTTTCCACATACCCTTTGTGAAATTCTCATTCCCCCTACAAAGCCCACCTCTGAGCCTTTCTTCCTCCCTGGCTCCTCACACATCTATCCTGCCACTGGATGCCATGATGACCTTGGTATTGTGCTGCCTCCCACAGTGCAGCAGAAACCTTACCAATAATCTTTTGGCATCTTCCCTGTCCCTGGTCAATCCCAGAACCCAGCTGGTTCCTGATGTCCTGCCTCTCAGGCTTTATCTCTCCTGAACAGCAGGGAATCAGTCTTGAGATGAGCTTTTTCAGGGGTGCAGTCTGGGTTCACACTGATGTTATTCTTTCTCTTGGATTTCTAAAACCTGCCTGTCCTGCATACAGATGTATTCCTGGCACCCAGCTCCAACAGGGCACAGGCCTCAGATTTTACAGAGTGAAAGCTACTATCAGCTCCATAGCCTCTGAGCCATCCACAGGTGCAGCCTGCCAGCCCCTGGGGCAACACAGTGTACAGGTCCAGGTTTAGAGCGAGAGAGCACTGGGTGGAGAATCCTCGCTCTTTCTCCTCCCAGATCGGGAGGTGAGCAAGTCACGGACCACAGATGTGTAAATGTGTAATGTTGGAGTTGGTTTGAACCTAAACATGTGAGGGCACAGAGGGGAGCAGTGCAGGGCTGTGATTTCAGGAAAGTCTGTCTCACCTTGGTCTGCTATCTTCCCCAACCCCCTGGGGCTCTGCTCCTCCCCATTTGTCTGTGTCTACAAGCTCAGCCTACTGTCACCTACAAAGTGGGTCCCCGAGGGCCAGCTGACTATTTCCTCCCTCCCCCTCCTTCCCTCTCCTCCCCTCCTTTCCCCTTCTCTCCCCTCCAAGCCAGCCCGCAGCCAGCTGTGGGGCAGACATTCCTAGGCCTGCTCATTGATATTCAGGAATGGAACTCAAGCTGGCTTGGGTGCCCAGAGCTCCGAGCTCAGGCAGGCCCTGTGCCTGGCTCTTCTTCGGCCTAGCTGTGCTGGGAGGGCCTACAGTCCCTTGCCAGCCAGAAAGAGCATCCTAGGCCACTGAAGCCAGCAGTAAGGCTCAGGAAACTGAGGCCTAAAGTGGGGAGTTGTGGACAGCAGCAGGCACACAGGAGTCTTGGAGAGTGCAGCTGACGCAGGTCACCTGACTGGCTACACTGCTCATTCTCCATCAGCCTGGGGCAGCAAAAGAGTCCTCTGGGCTTCTGGCCCCTCCAGGTGCTTCCGAGCTGTTCCCAGCCTGCACTGCTCTCAGGGGCCCTGCAGAGGCTCCACCCAGGGAGGGGACAGGATCCCAGGCCAGCCTCAGCCTTCCCACTGTGTTTCAGCGGGAAGCCACGGCTCCGCCCCAGAGCCCGTTTGCCAAGCCTCCACCTCACACCTCGGGGATGGTGCAGATGGGCTTGTTTTTCCTTGGGGTGTGAAAGAGCCGCTCAATGCAGGGGCCTCCTCCCCTCCAAGCAGCAGACTGGGCCAGCCACAAACTCCCAGTTACCAAGGAGAAGGTCCCTGACCCAGGGGTCATGGGATGGGAAGGGGGTGGCCCCTCCCAGAGCCTGCTGAAGCCAGTCCTAGGGTGTCCAGCTCCAGGGAGTCAGACTCCCCACCCAGAGGGTGGCAGAAGGTCCCCAGCCCCACTGTACTACCCACCTCAGTGCTTCAAATCCCATTTGCAGGCCTCCGCTGACTGTTGCTAGGTTCATGTGAATACAGACAGGATCCCAACAAAGTGCCCACCCCCATCATCATTCCAGAAACATTACCACACTCTGCCCAGCTCCCCTCTCTCCTCTCCAACCCTGTGGCCCCTGCAGAACCTCAGCTCCATCAGCAGCACCCTCCCTCACATGCATGATCCCTCCGCCCAGAGAGACTCAGCCAACTTCCTAGGAGTGGAACCTCCTGCAGAGGACATTTCACACCTCAAGGAAGAAAGAAGGGGGAGGTTGTGTGCTCTTGTTCCCTGTGGCCTACGCTGCCCCTCCCTCTTCCGAACTCACTAGGCTCCCTTGTGGCCCAGGCTCTTTGAGGACTCTTACATTACTGCCTGCAGCCTCTTGGTCATTCCTCTCTTCCTGAGGATTCCTTCTCCATCCTGCCTCTTGTTATTGCTCCAGGCCAGTTCCACAGCCCCCACGGACACCCCAACCAATGCCCGGGGCCCTCTGTCTTGGCTGTCCTCATAGCCAATGCCCTCTTCCTCACCAATCCAGCCATCATAAGTTGGGTCACAGAAACTACACTACCTCCCATCATCAAGAACGCTGCCTTCTCCAGTCTTTATGGTTCACACCCTCCACACTGTGCCCAGTTGTTCTCAAACACATCTTTCTCCATTGCACCCACACAGGCACCTCTTCTGGAGCCCAGATCCTGTGGCCACCACTGTCACCATTACTTATTCTCTTCTTCCTGCTGTCCCTGCCTCCCTCACCTTCTCCTAGCTGACCCGCAGCCTGGGTGCCCTTACCCACACCTCAGCCTCTGTTCTGGTCCCCAACAGCCAACTTCACCCAGATGGGCAGCTGACTTCTGGGTCTGCAGGCCACTTACATGGCAGTCTCCGTCTTCAGCTCTAGCCAGATCTCTTTCCCTCTTTCTACAATCTCTTTCTCTCTTTCCTTTCCTGTCCTCAGCCCTGCCCTTCCAAATTTCCTCCCCTTTCCTCCTGATTTGGTTTTGTCTGGCTCTTCTTAAACAAATGGAGCCCTTCCCATGGGACACCTTGTCTGCTCCACTCCCCTCCCTGTGGCCTCACTCTCTTCCTTCATGGAGATGATAGTAATGCTGCCAGGTGTGGCCACCCCCAGCCTAAGCAGTTTCCTCACCAGTTATATTTCCATCAGCTCTCTCCTCTTTCTCTCTTGAGTCCCCATTTGTCCCTCTCTGCAGGACCCCTCCCATTGCATGCTTCAGTATTCCATTTTCTTTCATGGTAAAACAAAAAGGAAAATGCCTTCATTCCGCTTCAGCTAAATTCCTCAGAAACGCCTGCATTCTCCCTGCTTCCCTCCCTCTAATTCTTCAGCCCACTTCAAACTTGCAACCCCACACTCCAGGAAGAGGCTCCACCAGCAGTGACAGTCACACTGCCAAATTCAGAGGCAACTTGTCAGTCTTGATACACTTGGCCTTCTAGCAGCACCGGTGGTTGCCCGTGTCTTCCTCTGCAAATCCTTTCCTCATGCTCTAGGTTCTCTCCTCCCTCCTCATCTTCCTCTGGCCATAGTAGCCAAGGCGGCCATTTGCCCCATTTGGGGAGCCACCTTCCCTGTCTATATTGAGCTTCAGGTCTTGGTCTTCCACCACTTCCACCCCCTTTCCACCAAATTTGTTCCTACTGCTGTCTGGCTTATAGAAAACCCCCATGCCAGTGACCCCCAAAGTTAGGACCAAGCACAGCCTGCTCTTCCCAACTGTTTGGTCATCTTCTCCCACTGTTCTCTGAGGTCCTCCAGGGAAGGGTCACGTTTCACTCCAGGCCAGCTCCGTGCTGCACAAGACTCTGTAAAGTTAATCATAATAGCAGCTGCACAAATTGGTGCTTGCTGTGTGCTGGGCACTGAAACAAGTGTCTTATTTGAATTATCTCATTGAATTCTCCCAACAGCACCAGAGGAGGAAAAACCAAGAGGGGGAGCTTGCTGGGAATCACACTGCAACTCCGCGCCTGACCTCAGCGGCAAGAGGCTTCACCTGGTGCAGCAGCAGGGTCACAACTAGTTGCCTGAGTTGAATTGACTGAATTACCACCCCACCAGGGAAGAAGCAGAGATCCTAGAGCTCAAACAATGTCCTCCTGCTCTTAGAACTCCAGCCAAAGTACCATTTGCCAAGAACTAAGGGAATATGCGAGGGAGTGGTTAAGAGCTGAATCTGCAGCAGGCTTCCTGGTTTTGAATGTCAGCTTTTTCCCTGGTGAGCTCTTGGACTGCACTCCATCAGCTCAATGATTTCACACCTCAATTTTCTCAGTACTAAAATGAGATGTGTCTTAGTTACTTTTTACTCGTCATTGAGACAAAATCCCTGACAGCTAAAATGAGGTAAGGAAAGGTTTATTTCTTACAGTTCTTGGAGGCTTCAGTCCATACTCAGTTGGCTCCAAGGCAGCATGGCATGGCGGGGCCACAGTTCATGGTGGGCCCAAACAGTAAGGTGGAAACCTGCAAGAGAAAGAGGGACACGCCTTCTTCCCGCCATTACATCACATCCTGGCTCCACCCCTAGGCGGGCGTAGCACTCACACCACCAATCCAAGTGCTAGACAATGAACCAATCACAAGTGCATAATGCAAAGGCATGAGGTTTGAGGGGGAGTCACTGACATAAACCATGACAAGATGGTAACAATGAAGGTATATGAGATGATACATGTAAAGCACACAACACAGCAGCTCGGCAGAGCAGATGAGCGACACATATTGGTCCGGCAGTTGCTGTGCACTAGAGACAGAGCCAGACTTGCAATTGAAAAATAAACTGTGCAAGGGGCAGCGTGCACTTACGATGGAAAAGCAATTCCTGTGAGACTGGCTTCTTTGTTAACTGAGTTGTTGAGCTGTGTCTAAAACCAGCTTGTGCTTGGGGTAGAAAGTAAATAATGTAATTCTTAGTTCTTAGAGCTCTGTGCCTTTGCACAGGCTACTTCCTCTGCCAAGCACACCTCCCCCTCCCCTTTGCTTAACTGTAAAACCCCTACCCACACAGTAACAAGCAACCCAAGCATTACCTTCTCTAAATTCCCACTAAACAGGATCAATCTCTCCCTCTCTCTCTTCCCTGGACAATATAGATTTAGTGTATATTCTTACTAGAATCATTCAACATATTTAATCAATCAATAAGTATTTGCTGAGTCCTCAGGCCCCTATTATGGAGTTGGACATTATTCTGTTCAGTAGTTATCATCAATTAGACAGTTTTACATGTTTTGTGCATAATCGTTACAAAAACTAAGGAAGACGGGAGCTTTCTTGTGGAGTGCACCAATCAAAGAATCCTGTTACATTACTTGCCAAGGCCTTGTGGCTTGTGGGGAAAGAGAGATGGCTACCCATGCTCTCATAGTCCCCGAGTTTTCTCTCAAGGACAACCACGGCTTACTTCTAGGGCAACCCACCAACCTAGTGCATCTGGGACTGGGGAGATTCCCAGGACATATGATATCCAGTGCTAAACCCCGGAAATGCCCAAGCAAAGCAGGACCAACTCTCTACCCCAGTCTTACCTTGAATATGTCATGGAATCAGATTCATGCCTACATCTGCTAAGCTCTACACCCAGCCACCCAAGCAAGTCTTCAAAGCTGAAAAAAAAAGTGCAGCAGGGTCTGAGTGGGAGCCTGTCAAAAGGCAAGGAAGCACCTCCTGGATGTCTGCCCTAAGCCCTCCCAGTCCCTAAGGCTTGTGAAGCCACCAGACGCCAGGCTGAGGAGGAGTAGGCCAGAGCTCCACAGGCCAGGAAAGTGACCTCAGAGCAGATGCTAGGCTCACCACATTCCCAGCCCAGTTATCCCCTTCCTCTGGTCCCCTCTCCCTCTCAGCATACTCCTGCCCAGTCCAAACTGGGGCCTGGGAGGACCTGAGTCTGCTCTGTCCCCTGTGCTGGCTGACCCTTTCTGGGGTAAAGGAGGAGAAAACCATTCCAACCTGATAAAATATTACCCCTTCCTCTCCCCAGTCTCCTCTCTGGTGCTCCAGATCACTCAGATATCCTCCTCCCTCTGTAGAAAATAAGTACATGGAAGAGAAAGGAGAAATAAAACCCATGAAACTGACGAGAAAGAAGGGAGTAGGTAGCACAGTACCTGAAAAGAGAAAGCCAACAGTAAGTGCTGAGTGAATCCTATTAGTATAGATAAATGTGCGCTATTCTTCACCTTAAAAAATATCCCACTCCTTCCCCTCCACATCTCTGTCCCATTACCCCACTTTCTCTGCAGTTGAATGTTTCAAAAGTCTGTGATTATCTCTCCACTTGCCCTCCTCTCCTGGGCCTCTCTTCCATTACTACATTTCTGTAACCCCAAACACCCCCCACCGCCAGGCCCACTGGTCAGTTTGTAACCCCTCTTCCCATCCATCCAGCAGTAGCAGCCATGTGACACAGACGCCACCTTCTCTCTTCTAAAATCTACTTTATATTTCAGACTTTGTTATTTCTTGGCTCCCCTCCTACCTCTGGGCAATCTTTCCAAGCTCCTTTGACCAATTGCTCTCCATTTTTTTGCCTCCAAATATTGGAGAGACTCAGGGCTCAGCCCTAGACATGAACTCCTCTATCTACAGCATATACATATATGCTCTGAATGCTAAGGACTCCCCAACTTGTATCTTCAGTCCAGATATCTTCCCGATATGCTGCCTTGACACCCACCTACGGTCAAGATTCTCCGTACACAAGGACAGGATCTTTAATACAAGTCCACATCTAGAACCTCAGAACCCACCTACATGAAGGTCTTTGAACTTTCTTTTTCTGTATACTAATCTCTGGATATCTGCAGCCCTGGCCCCAGTACACCTGCTTTAGCCACTTTATGTAAAGTATCACCTACCTCCAAAGACATTTGTCCTCCAAACTTGCCTTGTCTCTTTCATGTCATTCATTGTATTTATTAATTTATCTATGGAAGAAGCAATATCCGTCAGTGTCAGTACTTCTTTATTTACTGCTTTATCCTCAGTATAATATAAACACACACATACAATATGTGATCTAATACTATATCAAAACCATACCTAGACCATAATAGAAGCACAGTAAATACAATAGTCCCTCTTCTACCTGTGGTTTAGCTTTTTATGGTTTTGGTTACCCACAGTCCACTATAGTACTAAAATATTAAATGAAAAATTCCAAAAATAGATAATTAATAATTTTACATTGTACACTGTTCTGAGTATAGTTATGAGACCATATGCTTCCCCCTCCATCATGCCTGGGACAGCCATCATCCCTTTGTCTGCTGTATACATGCTGTATACACCACCCACTTGTTAGTCATCTAGGAGCTGTCTCAGGTAATGATGACCCCAAAGTGCAAGAGTAGTAATGCTAGAAATTTTACTGTGGTAAATTATAATTTTTCTATTTTATCACTGGTTACCATTGATCATCTTGTAGTATTCCCGATTTATAAATTAAACTTTGTCATAGACAAGGGTGCATTAGAAAAACATAGCATATATAGGGTTTTGTATGATGCATTGATTCAGGCATCTACTGGGGATTTTGAAATGAACTCCCAGGGGTAAAAGGGAACTAGTAGGTTTGTGAAATGAATGACTATGTTAATGGGAAAATTTGTAAAAAATGAGCAAATAAGTATTTGAATAATGTGTAACTACACTAATAAGTTATATTGGTGATAAATAAAAGATATAGTGATATGAATGAATTACTGATGCATCTAGCAACTCGGTTGTATCTCCAAATGAGCAAGTTGAGTGAAAAGAATATATATGATGTTATACATATAAAGTTTGAGACACAGAAACTAATTTTCAGTAACAGAAAGCAGATCAGTGGTTGCCTGGGGATGAGATTGGAGGGAAGGATGGACTGCAAAAGACCCCAAAGAGTCTTTGGGATGATAGAAATGTTCTATATCCTGATCATGGCAGTGGTTTCGTGGCTACATACGTCTGTCAAAACTCATCAAATCACCCGCTTTAAGTAGACATAGTTCATGGTATGTAAGTCATATCTTAGTTGATTTTTTAAAGAAAGAAACAAGTTAGTGAATGAGTGGATCAATCTGTTCACTCGTCATCCTTCCCCTAACAACTCTTCCCACTGAGCCTCCAGATTCATAGATGAAACCCTAACTCACACAAATCAGATTTTTCTTTTCCAGGGCGGGTGGGATTGACATTTAGTGCCTGCTATGTGTCAAACCTTCTGTTGAAATTATTTCCATTTTTAACTCCCAAAAGATCATGTGAGGTAGGCAATATTATTTGCAGTTCACAGGTGAGGACACTGAGTTGCCAAAAAGGAAAGAGATATCACCAAATTCATTCAGTCCAAATATGGCAAGCCTAGGATTTGAACTCAGGTTAGTCAGACTCGTAAGCTATATCACAAACTTCCTCCCACCCAAGATCTCAGCGGAGACTCTGTGCACACACACTCATGTATTGTGTGTGTGTGTGTGTGTGTGTGATGCACATGTGTGTGGCCTTGTGCGTCTTCCATCTTCCCAACTGAGGGAGAAAGTGCGGCAGTCGCCAAGAAGACCAAATGTGTTTTTCATCATGTTTGAGTGTCATGAGAAGATTCAAGGAGAAGCAGTAGCCAGGCCAGATGTTGTCTCTGGTCCCTTGAGGACCAAGAAATCATCCCTTCTGTAGCAAGAAGTTCAGCCAGTGGTGTCCCTTTCAGAGTGAGAGAAATTGAGAGCTTCCTAGCCTGTGCCCAAGAAAGGAGTCAAGGGGTCAAAGCAGCAGTGTCAGAGATGGGCTTATATTAAATCTGGAGTGGGGGAACACAGAGGGGACAGGGGTAACTTCTATCTGAAAATCATGCCACCTGAGTGTACAAAAGAAGGAGAGGAGAGGCAGAGATGCAGAGATCTGCCATTTTTTAAAAGTTAACAATACTCTGGGCCCATCCCAAACACTTACACGCATACCCTGCCACAGAGGTAATATTTTATTTTTCTTTTTTGAGATGAAGAAATGGAGGCTCAGAGAAATTAAGGAAGTCATTCATGTAAATCACATAAATCATACATGATACATTGCCTCTCTTATAACAACTCTTTCTTGGGTAAAACAGATCTTGACAACTTTAGCAGCCTCTCAAGGATCTATAGACACCAAAGCATCCATTCCCATCCACTTTCTCACTGTTTCATTTGTTCATGTGTGTATCTTACATATCCAGTAACTAACCACCCATTGATCCATTCATATAAGTGTCACACAGCCGCCCACTGATGTACACAACTGTGTGTTCACCAGCACTTCATCTACCCACAGGTCTCATCAGACGACACTGGATTACCCAACCAGGCATTCAAATGATCCACTCTCACACATTTACTTCCCAGTCAATTACCCATACACTTATCCATCTATCTACCAATATCTACCCATCTAATCACTCAACCATATCTTCCAGGATTTGTCCATCCATCCACTCACTCAGCCAACTGGTCAGCA